TCCCGGAGCCGCGGTGGGCCTTACACCGGCCTGGGCTGCAACATCCAAGGGATGCTGAGGTTAAGGGTTTAGGGTTCAGGGTTTAGGGTTGGGGCTTGGGCTTCAGGATTCAGAGTTTTTAATTCAGAGTCTAGGGGTTACGGATTCAGCGCTTATGGGAAGGGCTTAAGATTTAGAAATGAGGACTTATGATACTGCTTGCAGGACTTGAGGCTAGGCGGCTACAGATTTTTAGGATGCTACTAATCCCCCGCCGCTTACTATAAACATCCCCACCCCCAAAAAAAAAACGCAGCCCACCCTCAATAGTACTACCACATATAAGGGGGAGTAATTATTATTAGGGGGCGGGAGGCGCGATATTTGGGGGCGACACTTACAGAAAACTCAACCCAATCCCTTGTTATTGACCAAAACGGGGAAAGTTTTCACACCCCAAAGATCCTGAACCCTAAGCCCTAAGCCCTAAGCCGCTAAACCCTAGCCCCTAAACCCTAGCCCCTAAACCCTGAGCCCTAAACCCCAAGCTCCCAAATCCCAAACACAATCATCCAAGCAGCTGGGGGTCTGCCTCGGAAGGCCGCTCCCTGGTTAAAGCCCGGAGCAGTGCCGAAGTTCCTCATGGGCTAAAGTCCCCCTTTAGTAGATAGAATATGGGGCAATATTAGGGTTATATTGGGGTTATGTGGGAATAATGGAAAAGAAAATGGAAACTACTATAGTGGGTTATATAGACAGAATATGGCTTTGGGTAGATTATGATAAGATCCATAGGTACGGTTTGGGGTAATATTGGTGTGATATAGGGATAATGGAAAAGAAATGGAAACTACTACTTAGGGTTTAGGGGTTTTAGTCCCCCTTAAGTAGGTAGAATATGGCTTTGGGTATCCCCCATCTACCTCATGTTCGATCGGATTATGGGTATGCCAGTAAGGTTGAGACGACAAACTGCATGACCTATGTATACTACAGTACCATGATTCCCAATGTATTAGTAAGTACGGTACAAGAGGCCCCAGGGTTGCTACCGCGACTGCCACCGCTACTGCTGCTTCAGGTGGTTCTTGGACTCCTACCGACAGTCCCACTTCCACAACACAACGAAACAACTGCTCCTACCTCCTCGACATAGGAGGGGCGGCAGCAGCAGCAGCAGCAGCAGCAACAACAAAAGCAACGACTGCCAGCGAGAAACGGTATGACCGACAGGAAAGGACAAAGGATGCACTGCAATTGTAAGCTCCAATCCCTGACTACTAAAGCTTGACCTGCCTAGACCCAGCTGAAATACATAGAAACAACTGCCATCTAAATAGGCTCCGGTAATCCAACATCATGCCAAAGTTCGGCCCTGCTCCAGCGTTCCAACCGGCGCCCTTTGGAAGACAAGAGGGTGGGAGAAAGTCTTGGGGGTTCAACGGTTGGAGCCAAGAACTTGCCTTCCTTCGCCACCACGTTTAGGCTAAGATGCTCTTGGGGTCGGGCATACGTAGTTTAGGTTTGCTGCAGGAACCTGCATCAGGTATGCTTTCCTACCAGTCACCTTAGGAGCAAGAAAAGGTTCAAGTTCATCAACCAACTCCCGTATTCTTTCACCAAATAACTGGAACCTGTAATACAAAGACACAGAGGCAGCTCATCTTCAAATCCAAACAGCAAGTAAGAGTAAGTGGATCTTCGTCTAATTGTTTAAGGGCCCCTTCCCACCCCCAGTTGAGTTGGAGTGGCGCTGCAGGTTGGAGCCTGCATTGCTCTGGAAATTATTTGAAGTTGCTCCAAATTATGGGCTTTTTGTTGGCTACACTGTGCAATAAGGAGTACATTAGAATGGAGGCCTGAAAGGGACTGCAGCTTACAACAATCGCTTTTCAACCATAGATTCCCCTACTACCTCCCACTGTACTACCCCATTGCCCCTTCTGGGTTCCACCTTAATTGAGTTCGTTTAGGGGTACTAAGGGCTAATTCAGTGGAACCTGAAGGGGATAGTGTAAGGGGAGTAACAGGGAAAGCCATGATCCAAGGGATGGCTGTCAGCTTGGCATGCAGTGCTGCCTGGTTCGAGGTTGTCACGGTTTCTTTAAAGATGTGGATTCCCTCTAAAGGGCCCATAGCTGCATAATATATACCTAGGCTGAAAGTAGGTGTGTAAGACTTTCTTTGCGCCCTAGTATTTACTGTATACCTACGTGGACCCTCTGAATGTGGTTGTCTAGGCTGCGCTTGGCATCGTGATCGGGAACAGTCTATCCAGCAAGCAGCCGTCAGACCTGTTCCCAGCCGGACAAAACTCCTCAGTTACTGGGTTGCTGATAAGGAACTTAATAACCATACTACATATTATATCTCCATGTTGTGGTTGCTTGGTTTAAGTTCCGTAGCAGCAACCCAGACTAGCTCAACAACTTGGAAATCGTAAACATAACCTTCCCGACATCTCACATGTTGAGGGCCAACTGGCGGACTGTGTCCTTTCCGGGGGAATTTGCTGCACGCCGCCTTGGAAACTATCCTTAAAATCAAGTGAGAGGCAACCCTCTAGCCCAACTCAAGAATGTAGGTCCCCCACCTACAGGAGACCCCCAGCCCCAAACCCTGAACCCTAACCCTACACATATGTGGTAGCCTATCAAACACAAGGCCCCTGACCAAGTGGCAGTGTCTTGCATAGTCCTCAAGACCTAGAATACGCATAGTTGCTCAGGTTCATACGATGATACACACACAAGAGCAGTAGAAGTGAGTATCCTTTTTTGTGGTTAAACCCAATAAGATTATATTCCTTATATGAAATACTATACCCCAAAAGGAGGATATAATCTTACTCTATAATGGGTACCACAGTATCCCCCAATAAAATACTACCCGAGTGGATAGGTGAAGATGACCTCGCCTCTGCAGCAAGTATGGGTCTAGGGCTTGGGGACTCTAGGCTTACATTTTCTGAGTGAAATGCAAAGAAGGCGTCCATATACTACTAGGAGACCGAAATTCTCCGAGAAGTCTCCGTGCATCCTTCAGACAGTCCTATAACACCCTGTACCTTAACCCTGACCTTGTTGGTTGGCTGCTGCTAGGCACATAATTTGATTTACCATGCTGAGGAGCCATGTATTTACCGCCTAGCCATGTCATGGTAACTTAACTTCAGCTCCTTACACGCAACCCAAACTAACCCTAAACCCTAAACCGTAAACCCTCAACCCTAGGCGCCTGCATCAGTCTTTCCTGCTGCTGCGCCTGCTGCATCTGCATCCGCTGCGCAGGAGTGGTGCCCTTGTCGGTTGAGGGTTTACAGTCCCCCTCAAGTAGATAGAATATGGCTTTGGGTATATTATGATAAGATCCCCGTATACCCCATATTCTATCCGATCTACTTAAGGGGGACTATAGGTTTGAGGGATTTCAGGGTTCAAAGCTCGAGGGGGAGGTTTAGTGTTGGGGCGGATACCTCGGACTGAAGGAATAGGATTTAGAGACTCTTAAGAGAATTGTGGCGGGAATACTCTACAGGCCCGCGCCTTCATTCCCTACTAAGCACCAGCATATTGGCTGCATCGAAAGGGCTTCAGGATATGGGTCTGGGTGCTTCCAAAAGAGGGCTCCCTTCTACACCCCAAGAGGAAATATGAAGGGTCCTTCTTATAACGACCCCCAGAAAAGGAAAAGGACCATCAATTTGCGGCAACCCCTGTGTGAGGGCTCTGTGCTTCCTCTGTTTGCGTTTGTTTTCGTTGCGTTCACGCGAGTGTCGTTAATCTAATCTACTTCTCATTTTGGCCTCCTGTTGCCGTTAAAAATCTTCATGTGATGATTGCTTCGTTTCTGTGTTCTTCTTGCCTCGATACTTGTGACAAGTGGAAGACATTCGTACTTGAGACACTTGCTACCTCAAGCAACATGCGCCCAACCAACAAAACACGTGCGCAAGCAAAGTTGGTTCCGAACCCTTCGCCCCAACTTGTGTGTAGCCCAATCCCAACACCCTAAGTCCTAACCCCCAAAGACCTGGCCCAAGACCAACCTATACAACCTAAACCCCGAACTCCAAATCCTGCATAGTAGTTTCCATCTTATTTTCCATTATCCCAATACAACCCCAAAGTACCATAGAAGTTCCCATGTTATTTTCCATAATCCCAATATAATATAACCCGAATATTACACCGCCGAATAAGGACCCAGCTCTGAGCATCATGACAGGCTGGCGCTGGCCCATGCCCCCCATTGGCGGCCGACCTCCAAAGGATGCCAAAGACCTTATGAACTATAGTCTAAACTCCTTCAAGACGAGGGGTTATATAGGGGATTCTATAGGGTTTAAAGTTTAGAGTTTAGGGTTTAGGATTTAGGGTCTAAACTCCTCAAAGGGGTTATCTAGGGGGTGATTTGGGGGGACTACTATAGGAGTTATTAAGGGGGGATACTAAGACTTCAGACTATGGCTCTTATGTTAGTCTATCATACTTGGTGATTCTTTAAAGGGTTCTCCAGGCAGCACGTAGGCGTTCTGCAGATAGATGAGCATTACACTGGCATTCCGAGGACTCCCTATTTATTCTATAGGGGACATTCCAATGTGTAAGCTATATACCTCTTCTGCGAAGGTCTTGCATGGAAGTATGGTATTTGGGAGAGCTGAATACGTGGTCAAGAACGGGGTATAAGCCAACGTGCACGGTATTTAATTCCAAAACCACCGCGACGTAACTTGATGCTTTGTCTTGCGTGTGTTGGGCCCTTCAAGAGGCAACAACAACTCATGATCTCACGCTCCAATGATTAGCAACTCTCTTGTCTCAAGCGTGGGGAAACCAGAAAGGGTCAACGCCAGCTAAGAACAAGAACCCGGGTGCTGGTAAAGCATCTTCGTCAATGACGCCTGGCCAGCAAGTGTAAGCACCAACCCTACTGCTTCAGGGCCATCAGAACGGGATATTCAAATTGCCAACCCTTACCAAAACAAAGCAAATGCAAGCGGACCACTGCACCCAAGCCTTGGTTGCCACAACCATTGGAGCCGTCGCCCTTGCAGCCCATTTGCTTCCCCATGCCTTTGCCCATGGGCCCCATGCCCATGCCACACATTCCTCCTGAGCCCATCTTCCCCTTCTCATTGCCTTGGGCCATGTTACCCATCCCCCCCATGGCCTGCATCCCCTGGCCACACATGCCGCCCATGCCTCCGCCCATGCCTCCACCCATACCACTCATGCCGGAGTTCATCATGCCACCCATATTGGCCATGCCGGTCATCCCCATTCCCGCCATGCCACCCTTGCCACCCTTGCGAGCCATACCCATGCTGCCACCCATGCCACCCATGTTGTTGGCCATGCTATTGCCCATGCTGCCCATTCCGGCGTGCATCCCTGTGTTCATTCCCTGCATTTTCGCAAAGACAGAGGTCTGCTCGCCCATCCGGGACGACATGGATGTACCTGCCATCACTTTTCGATCACGGGCTCAACATGCACCACGGGCCCAAAGCTCATGTGCACAAGTTGTGACACCATGGTTCATAGTTTCCTGAAGAAAGCTTGCTAGGCATGCCTGATCTTACGCCAGGCTCCGCCACACCCTTTCCTGAAAGGCAGCAAAAAATATCACCAACTGGGTTCCCCTAAACACCCCAACCTTTGATATGTTACGCAGATATGGGGGTTTCCCAAAATTAGGGGTACCATTCTCGGCTATAGTATTTTGGGGTCTGTTCTGGGGTCCCCCTATTTATGGTAATTACCATATGTCTACCCTACACACCATTCGCTAGGAACCCCCAACAAGGCAACCCCTGGTTCAAGCTCTTATAACCCAAAGGATCCTAGGTACCTATATATTTGATACTAACCCGAACCACATTCTTAGTTCCTAGAATAGAAACCCTCCTTCATATCAAAAAGGTACTTAGGATCCTTTGGGTAATAGCTACACCCTAAAACCTAAATAGCTAGGACTACGCAACACAAGGCAGGATGGCCCATGCCACCCATCATGCCGCCCTGGCCGATTTCGTGCACTTTTTGTTGTACCCCAACAGAGCTATAGTCCAAACTCCTTAAAGGGGGGTTCTATAGGGGATTATGTAGGGCAGGATTATAGGGGTTATTACGGGGGATACTAGGAGTGACTAGTACTCATATACGAGCAGTTCCTAAAAATGGAGTCCCATGTTGGTACCCGTGAATACTAGGTGCTGTACATGTAGAACCGAAAGGGGCCCATAATTTTAAGAATGACCCATATCATAAGGACATGAGGTTACTGGAGGCTCTAAACATGGGAGTAGCTTAGAGATCTTAGGGGATGTACGGGCTTGAAAGGAACTACCATGAACTAACTGCTGTAGTTAAAATGTCCCTAAAGTTAATAAACCTATATTTAAAGAAACGACAGCGCTCTGACTTATCTCCGGGAAGAAATTAAAAGAGGTGAGAGCCACACTCACAGAAGCATCTCTGTACTTGACGAGCATCATGCTTCCCACGAAGAAAAACTGAGAATCATGGCAATGTGTGCATGAGCAAAAAAGGAGGGCCTCCTATCTGTATGCAAGACACCCCTGAAGAGCCTCCACATAGTAAGTTCCGCTATTTAGGGAGAAAATATTGACAATTGCGTGGGGCAGGGGGGCATTACTAGCAGAGGAAAGGAAGTAGTTGGTCATCTGCCATCTGCTATCCTCAACTTTAGAAACCGAAAGCTCTAGACTCGACACCCCGAACCCCAGATCCCAATCCTAAGCTGTAAAACCTAGCTGGAGGGGCTCCGAGGACCACCAGTGTGGCCTTTCAGGATTTTGGGTTCGGGTCTAGGGCGTATATTGGGCTTGAGGTTAGGACCATGAGGGGACTTGATCGTCCCAGGAACTACGCAATCATGAATATCAACATCCAGTCGTGATGCAAGTTTTCGTCGGCAGCAGTGGGGTAAGAAAGTCTGGGTGGCTGCCATTGCTGAGCAACTCGACGCATGCTACCGGAGTACTGAAGGCGCTATGATGCAAATCCTAAATGCCTCTTGCATGTTTCCCTTACAACATCTTCTGGTACGGTGTTCTGGTACGGTGGCCATGGCGGGCAATCATGGTATCAGAGATGCAAGCGGCACTCTCTTAGGGAGGCCCCGCCGTCGTAGCTCACCAGATTGCAGGAGTTTAAACGCAGCTACACGGTACAGTCCTGATCCTCCCAAGAACTTCAAGCGACGAGTCTGTGAGAACACGCCTCCGGGTCCCCGTCCCGAAACAAGGGCTTTCTCTGCCCGCTCAAATGTGGCAGCCCTTTTGAGAAACGCCCCATGAACCCTTGATTATATCCTCGTGTGGTTAGCGGGAAGAATAAACCTTGAATGCTACAGTCCGGCCAGAATCTTTTCTGCCCATGCGCCCAACTGGCTCACAGTGACGTGACGTGTTAACAAAAGCAGGAGCATGCCCCTTCGCAACACGTTTGGTCGGTTTCCCACGCTTTGTGCATGGCGGGCAGGGCTGTACAAGGCTGTTCTTTGCAATGATGCCTTGGCATCAACAAATTCCAGCTATTTCTCAAATCTCTTCAAGAGTGTGTGCAGCCGTGTGAGTCAAATTACTGTAAGGAGAGAGCCACTTAGGAACATGGGGAGGACTCTGTAGATACCCCAAAAGATCCCGAAGAGGATCCAGGCGCATGGAGCTCCGTTCTCTTAAAGATTTGCAGAGTCGGCAAACACCCAGGTCCTCCAGAGGATTAGACAAGAGCGTGTACCTGAGAAGTCGGTTCAGGGTCCATTGTGTGGGGCAGGGTTACGAGCACGTTTGCTGTTTGGGAACTTTGGTCAAAGACGTTGAAGTCCTGAAGCGCCGCCCTATCCTAACCTAAAGCCTGTAAGCAAAGTTCTACTGACTGGGAGCTCAGGAGCAGATCATGGGATCATTACCTCGGATGCAGCAGCACAGAATTTAAAAGTGTCTCAAAGTGTCTAGGGCTCGGGGATTTCAAGGTGGAGCTTGGCGATTCGTGTTGTTTTGCTTTGGGGTGTGGAGGTTTAGCTTTGATGTCGCCGTTCGCTCAAGAGGATCTTCGGTATTGCTTGAGTCGAGCTCGAGGGCAAGGGTGGGTGGTTAGCCCGCCATACCTTCGCTAGGATCTAGAAGGTCAGTTTGGCGTCTCATGACCCTGGAGTCAGGGTATGCATCCTGCAAATGAGCACTTTCTTTTCGTGGCTGAAGCAACTAAGATTATTTTCGTCTTACAGGAGACAATGCACAAGCAGGAGGGTATAGTCTTACTCTATGTTGGGGGGGTTGGGCAGAGTAGTCCAATCGGAGAACGACACTCAGATGAGGTGCGTTTTTTGGTGGTTAAACCTAGTAAGACTATATTCCTTGTATAAAATACTATACCCCCAAAGGTGGACATAATCTTACTCTATTCTGGGTACCATAGTATCCCCAAAAAAGATGCTACTCAGATGAGGTGCAGGGCCCTCTTTGTTCAGCCGACGATCATCGTCATCCTCATCCTCGTCATCGTCATCATCCTCGCACGAGATGCTCTCGTAGATTCCTCAGAGACCAGGGATATATGGTAATATCCCAAAATTGGGGGGGTGTGATATAGACCCCAAAATAGTATCATCCTTTTTGTCATTATTATAGGGACCCCCAAAAAAGGTACTCCTAACTTGCGATACTCCTAAACCCTATATATCCCTATATAATCCTACATAACCCCCAGAGCCCCGTGAAAGGGACCCCTAATCTTGGGAAACCCCCCACATACATGCAAACCCCGCAGCAGAGCTGCGGCTCCAGTTTCAAGACTTTTCCCGCTTCTTGGGGTGGCTACTGGAGTCTTCATGTAAGCTACACAGGACTATATAAGGGTAATACTGGGGTTATATAGGGATAATGGAAATGAAGTGGAAACTACTATAGTACATATTGGGGTTAGATAAAGATAATGGAAAAGAAAATGGGAACTACTGTGGTATATTGGGCTGATATAGGGATAATGGAAAAGGAAATGGAAACTACTATAGTACAATAGTGTATATGTTTGCCCTAGAAACCTGAACCCTAGACCCATTGCCTGGCAGCTATAGAATAATCTCAAGTTCGTGGACCTCAAAAACCATCAGGTCTCAAGTGCCAGCTGCCCCTCCGCTACACAGTTTAGTGCATTTCAGGGTTGCAATGCCCGTGGTCCTCTCAAACATGTGGGTAGACCATATTCTTCCAAGGGTACTTGTGTGAAGCCTGCTTACAAAATTGAGTGGTGCTCAGCAAGCTCCTCACAACAAATAACCAAATGGAGCGCCTACCCTGAACTCCACGCCCTCAAGCCTAAACGCCAGAGCCCTCAAACGATCTGTTGCAAGGAGCAAAGAACCCCCAAAGGGTACCTGGCACAGTAGTTCCTATGCACCCTGAACCCTAAGCCCTACACTCCTAAACCCTAAACCTTAAAACATCAAGCCTAAACCCTAAACCCTTAAACGCCTAAACCCTAAATCCTGCACCCCAAACCCCAAACCCTAAACCCTGAACCCTAAACCCCAACCCCAATGATCATCTCTATAACCCTTTGCCGACATTCCCTACACAGAAACGCGAGGCCTAAGATCATCTACCGTGCAGTACCAAACAACCGGAAGCCTAGCCCCTAAAGCTTTGTGGTTTAGGGTTCAGGGTTTAGGTTTCAAGGTTTAGGGTTTATAGGGCTTGAGCCTTCAGGTTTCTGGTGTTCAGGTATAGCGGTTTGGGGTTTGGAAGCCCGGCAGATGCATGGAACAGTTTAAGCTTCGATGGAAAACAGAAGTTGAATCCTTACTTATTACGGATCCCACCATGCGTGCGTTACTCATTTTAGCCTACACTCCTCAGCCTCATATTCTCACACACTCCCCTTTGAAGGGACGGGTTCTATCTCTGCACTGCCCCCGACCGGCTACAAATCCTACTTCTAGGTATGCCTCCCTAAACCCTAAACCCTCTAACCCACGCCATTGAAAAGGAGCTTCCGTTAGAACCAGGACCACAATATTGGCATTGACGATGCACGCCATCTGCCCAGCAACCTCACCATAATATTGGCATTATTTTGGGTTTTAGTGTGATAACGGAAAGGAATTTGGAAACTATTATTTAGGGTTTAGAGTTTAAGGTTTCCTGCTTTCAACAACGATGAAAGCGGAGGATAATTTATGTTGAGCCCTTTAGCTTAAGTGCCCCCACCCTGTAACAGCCTATATTAGGGGTCATTATGTTAAGGGCTATATATAACTCGACAGAATGGGGGCAGAACCCAACCCCAACCCTATTGTTCCGGCGGGAATGTAGAAGCCTGAAGAACTGCCCTTCGTATCCTACAATCGATAGACAATCATGGTGTAGTAACCTAAACCCTGAACCCTGAACTTGTTCAGCTACGTTGAGGACAATGCCAAGGAAAATGAAACACACACTGGGTTACTTATGTAGTGGTCAAACATGGAGTTCCGTGTGCATGGGAATTAGGGGTTTCGGTTACCCCAACTTCCAGAAGAACGGCCCTATGACTATCATGCGACTCTTGTATATAGGGTCCCTGGTAGGGTTGGGGAATCCAACATCCTTTTACCATCTTAGTAGATTCTGAGCACAGTGCAGGAACGTGGTACTTCAAGAAGAGATACCCCAACGTAGTATAATCCTTGCGCTCGGAAACCCCGAAAATGGGCTCCTAATTTGTCGCCCATGTCCCCAAACATGGATGAGACATCTGCCTCGCGACAACATATAGCCGCCTCAAGAATACTTGGGGATTTCGCGGAAACATGGATCCCTTTAGGCCAGGACCCCTGCAAAAAGCATCCCCGTATCTAATTGCATATAAAGCCTAGAGCCCCCCTTAGGTAGATAGAATTTGGCTTTAGGCATATTCAAATAATATCCCCATATACCGCTTGTTCTATCTACGCAAAGGGGGACTATATGCTTAAAACTACCAAGGTAGACTGGAGTATGCAACCCAAGAATCTATAGGGTTCCCATAAATTAGGAGTTTCTTTTTGGGGGCTACCTATAACAAGGCCCGGGGTACCATTTTAGGGGCCCCAATATTAAGGACTGTAGTATTTGGGGGTCTATATTGGGGTCCCCTTATTCTGGGAAACTACCATGTGTATTGGAGTCCCCCAATCTGTCAAATCTATCTCATCAAGTGGCACAGCTCCAGAAATCCAATCACTGAATATTGGGGGAACGATTATTCGGACTCTTACAACATGCAGCGCAAAGAGGGAATGTTATGCAGGATTATCCAGGAACATGCTTGACAACGAAAAGATTGCATCTAGTCAAACTGTGCGTGCAGGACACCCAGAATACCCCATTGGCACCGCGGGTTCCACTTGTGAGTCTGTGCCGTACCCATTGGGAACCAGCACTCGCCATCTTCATATGTTGGTCGGGCTGACTCAGGGCACTGGATCCCGTTGAATGGCTGGAAGTCACAAAAGCGGCATTGAACATGGATGCCGTCGGCATTGCATCCGAGCATGCCCATCTGACACAACGTGTCCCAGTAGTAGGGAGTGACGGGTTCGTTGACAAAGTTGCACACAGAGGTGGGGCAAGTCACATTTTCATATTGCCCGTGTCCGCAGTACCTGCAACCCAGGTTGTGTCCGTCAGCGAAGCATCCCAACATACCTTAGCTGACTGTAGAAGCCCTACCCAGAGGTCCAACCTTTAGCGTCTCAAATGCAAGTCATGGGAGAACCACAAGGTTTAAGATCAGAGCGCCAGGCATTAAGCGAGCCGAGATACCATCCACGCATGTCGGCTCCCAGTAGAATGGAACAACTGGCGGGTTGTCAAAGGCGCAGGCCCTGCTACTGGGCACGATAGCATCTTCAGGACAATGCAGCCCTGTGTACGGAGCCTGCCAGTTGCCAAAGAAACAAGCCTAGATTAAACTCCTAGTATCCTCCTTAATATCCCCTATAGTAGTCCCCTATATAATCCCCTATATAACCCCCTTTAAGGAGTTTAGACTATGGCTCATATCTACCTGAGCGTCCTGGTGCAGGTCCCCTCTTCCAGTAGCTGGCTCTAACGATAGCGTTTTAAATTGTTCCGCACCATGTGGAAGACGCGAAATCAAATAACGAAAGCAAATGTACGCTTTGCAGAAGCAAAACACCCCAAAGGGTCCAAGTACCTGCAGGTATGCGCTGAAGCCCCAAGTACCTATCGGAAAATTTGGGCCCATTGACATTGACTAGGTCCTTGCGGCCTTTGGTCAAGTAAGGCTGCACATATAAGCGCATTGTTCATTGTCACATTATACATACATATATATATATACATATATGTATATTTGCGAAATATATCTGTAAGCATGTATACACATATACACCCTATTTGTAGTAGTTGGCCCACGGTGTGTATTCCGCCGTAGTGCGAATCCACCATTGGTCATGGGGAGGGATAATAGCAGACGGATGCAGCTGCTCTGGCTTCTGCTGCTGCCATGCCACAGCAAGGATATAGCTAACTTGCCGAAGGGCCTAGTTTCCATTCTCTTTTCCATTCCTCCCAACCAACCCCCACTTACATTTACCCCATTCTCCAGCAGGGCTATGCTAAACCCAGAGCCTCGCCGCAAAATCGGCACTGAGCATGAACTCCATCCTCAGCTAGGACAGAATTACATAGGTTCTTACTGCAGAAATCGTTCAGGGTCGCCATGGGTCGTCTGTGCAGTAGTATCATCGGTCTAGTTCTGTGCTGCTTTGGCCAGCAGAAAATCTAGTCCCCTCTTGGAGGGTCAGCGGACTTCGTCAGTAGATTAATAACCCCTATAAGCCATAAAACAACCGCAGTTCTTCCCATTCTTAACCTAGTTACTAAGTCCCCCCAACCCTCCAACCCTAAACCCCTACACCCAAAAAGAAGTAGTAGTTCCCATTTTATTTTCCATCATCCCAATATATCTCTGCAAGTAGTTGAATCTCAAACTCGGAGATCGGATGGCTGTGAAACAACGCTTCCGGGTTTGCAAGTTTGAGCCATGGAAAAAACACCGAAATCACAGACCCCATCTCGCACTGGCCTGGCCAGCATTTGGGAACAAGCCCTGTTGCGCACTATAAGAAGCCTGAGAGTATAGTATAGTACAGTACAGTATAGTATAGTATGCTAAGCACACTTCAACGACAGCCTTTCCCTGTCTCTCTCTCTCTCTCTCTCTTTGCCCCTCTCCCTATCTGACTCCCCCTCCTCGTCCCTTCATTCTTCCTGTGTAACCCAGCGGCTGCCCAGCAGCCCAAAGACTCAACATTGTTGGCGCACTTCTCCTTACTCAAACGATGCAGTATGTCGGATTTGGGGAGTACATTGGCTTCTCCTAGCAGGGTAACCCCGGGACATCCGGGAAGTGCGCGTGAGTTCTCCACGAATAATCTGAGTTGGCATTGGCACAGGCCGATACAAGTGCCGGGATAGAACGGATAGAATCTGTCAGGCGCTCCGCCCGTGGCATGGGGCTTTGGATTCAAAAAAATTCCATTCAAGATTACCACGTAGCAGAATCCCATTCGGCACGCTTGGGTGGCACATATTCAGAATGCTTATCAAAAGCACAAGACGCCTCCGTACACTCACTACAACAACAGCCTTCCCTGCTCACTGCAGACGCATAACAACTCATACCCGTGATGGCAATATCAAAACGACTGCCTCTCTGTACCTAAGTTTGACTTCACAAGTAGCACATAAAAAGTCGTAGCCAGATATCGCTTCATGTAGCCAGGCTATTTTGAAACCAGTTATCTGTGATTGCAAATGAACTTACAGATGCATCAAGGAACACTTCCGGACCCACAGGAAACAGCTCGCAGTCAGAAACAAAGGATGTGACAACCTTGTTAAAGCAGACTATGGATGGAGGAAATCTTGCACCTCCTCATACCCCAGAAATTGAAGGATTTCAGAGAGTAGACGTGGTGCAAGATTTTCTGTTCACGAGAGTTCTGTTGGAGCGGATCGGGGCCTGTGAGGGCAGGAAAAACGCATATGGGCAGGACGGAAAACGTAAACACATATGAGCCCACCGGGCCTAGAAGTGGATGCGCAAAATACAGACTGACCAGCAAACGCATGAAGCGGACAGGTACAAATAAATTTAAGAGGAGTCAGATCGATTGACCCCGACATAAAGAACGTGCCACCGCACAACATCTGAAGTTGCCAGAATAAGCCTCGTCCCAGTAGTATGGAACCTTCAGGGGGCTTCCAAGACTACATGAAGGAAGCCAAGGTTTAGGTTTTAGGTTTTTGGGTTTTAGGGTTTAGGGTTTTAGGGTTTTAGGGTTTTAGGGTTTAGGGTTTAGGGCTTTAGGGCGTTAGG